GCATTAGCTCGACATGTTGTCACCAATATTGTGATTTGCCATTTCTTGTATAGTTCGCTGAAAGATCACCTTATTAATACTACCACGCGTGAATATGAWGTCTTAATGCGAACACCTACTCGATTTAGTTTCATTCAGTATCCAAATTGAAGAGGTTTTTATATAAAACGAAACTAGTTTTCCTAAAAGTCCTGGTGTTTTGTTGCGTAAAGATTAGTAATTTGAGTTTAAACTCTTACACATAATGAAGCATCCAAACGAAATTATAGATCATCACCTTTGCCATTATTTACTCACAGTAAACATGTATTTTAATGCTTTAGTCAAGACGCAAACCACTAGTTACTCTGCAACAACGGATTGGAAGGAAGTAAATGGTTGGCTGCCACGTGACTCATTTAACCAATCACCTGGCACTTGGGATTCATCTTTAAGTCGATTCTCACCCAGTGAGGATGGTTTGTACCTTATTACTGCAAATCTTGTTCTTTCTCAAAATCAAACTACAAGTGTATTTAGTGCTATGATTATACCCGATGGACATAGCAACAAATACTCTGGAGGKCAAAACTATCAGCGAGTACAGAGTCTGATAACATCACCCTGGACTTTTACCCTCCCAGTGTCGTGTACACTAAAACTCACACGTGCACAGTTTGTGGGTGTGTATGTCAAATCTTCTGCGAGCATCGCATGGAGTATAGCCGGTAATAGTACTTTGTCTATTGTTTACATGTCTTCCTTTAATAATCCTGACCGTGGAAGCCTGAACGCAATAACAGAAGGGCCTGATTTGTTATATGGAAAAGATTTTGACGAGGTTAGACATTGGACATTTTCAGACTCTGATTCAGTTGGTACCTTTAAGGATCAAATGGTGTTTGTTAAGGACTACATGAAACTAAGTGAATATACAGAAGTTAAACGTTCTGGYTTRTATTTTATTGGAGTGGCTTTGAGAGCCGAATCCTTTGCTGATTCGCTGGTGTCCTATGGACTTGCTTTGTGTATCGTAACCGGGTCTACAACAACAGTCGTTTTTCGTTCTAATAAGTTTCCYGAGGGAGCGAAAAATACCCATTTTGGAATAAGTACTTTTGCCGTTCTTTATTTGACAAAGGATCAAAAAGTATCCGTGTGTCTCTCGGGYGGTGAAAACCGKTATGACTTTGAGAAGAATTATGCTGGCTTCTCATTGGTTAAAATCGTACCACGTRGTACGTACCCTGGGTTGCGTCAAGTATCTAATGCAGCAACTTCATCGTCTGRYGACTGGGTGRTCGTTTCTGACTGGACGAGTGGAGGGATGAATTCATTGTATAAACAAGGTGGAATTAGTTCTTCTGGAGTTGASGATCTCATGGTATCCCCAGGWACGTTTTTTATTTCATCGTCGTTTTTGTTAGAGAACAGTTCTTCTCTGTCAGGAGAATTTTGTGTTGGTCAAAATCAGTGCAGCAACTGCTATTTGCAATCTACGACCAGCAATGGCGGCGTCAATTTGGCTGGTTTGGTGAGATTTCAGTCGAATCAAAATATAACATCCTGCTTCAAACGTCGAGCAGTTTCGCTTKCTCGTTCTGCTCAGCTTCTTCCAACTGCTGGGGAAAATTCGTCTTTCTTGTACCGACATGCGGGACTGTCGTTTAACTCAGCTGGTGAAAATGCAATGACTAACTGGATTTCTGAAGATGGAAAAAGTCACAATGGCATTGYCATCACACAACAAGGTTTATACATCGTTACTGTTAACATCGTCCTGCGATCTACTAAAGATACGCAMTTMAAASTGAMCACTGTTTCCACTATGAACGGTAAAACTGTACAGGTTCCAGGGTTAAATATTCCCTTGACCTGGAAGAAAGCGAACGATCCAATGGCTCTTGGTTTGTCTTGTCTCGTTCRCGTTCAGGTTGGAGCTTTGCTGAGCGTCAAAGTTCATTCAGGTATGATCATTAGTCGTTGTTATTTTTATTATACAAGTTCGTGCGCCATCTTGAAAGGTAGCCATATTATTGAAGTGAGACAACCGATGCACAGGTATCTATCACTGCATGTTMACTGCTCCCTTCGATRCAAAGGCTACCTTTCAATRTTRYGGAGGAAAATGTACAAGAGACGACTAATATACCCAGTAAGAAATCAACATATATTTGTGATTGGAATTCCAGATTCYAGTAATTCTTGGAGAACCGAGTCCAACGCGACGTTCTCTGCAGGCCTGGTTACTACCGAGTCTTCTTTTCAAGGGATGGCTGTAAGGATAGCTAGTGARTACACAGTGATGGTCACGTCTGATTGGATGTCAGTTGAGAGCTGGGATCGACTAGATATTGGATTGGTATCGCAATCATCTGTGTTACGTCAAGGCCGTTTTGTTGCTGGTACAAATGGTGTTTACGTTGTTATGGTTACACTGAGTTTKTCAGTGACTCTCCCAGCTGGGAAAGAAAGGTATGAGTGGACGTTGATAGCTGTGGCTCAATCAAAACTTGTTCTTAATTAAATGTCATGGAAATGCTTCACGAAGCTTGAAAGCCAAACTATAATTTGCACATTAGAATGCACTTTTACAACCCTGTCGATCAAACCAATGCTTCTCTCTGATTGGCCATGTTTTCCATTATATTTACTAACACCACACTAATCATTTATCAGCAACCTTGAGCTGCTTCTTKCTGTTGATGGTAATGTTGCTCATAACAACAATCTAATAATGACACGAACGTTAAAGGGTCAGGATGGCGCGAGTCGTTCAGCAACACTCAGCTTATCCTCTTCAATGTACTTATTCAAGTGGCAAGCGGTGTTTCCTATGATACGCAGTTCAAGTCAAGAAAGATTCATGATAAATGAGAATAGCACTTTCTTTGTTGTTCTTCTGGGTAAGACACATATATATTGTTGCGTCCGTTGTGCTAATGCA